GAAGAAGGAAGAGCTGGTACACTGCGTGGTGGTGTACCTGAGTGGGAGTATCCGCATGTACAAAGGGGGATGCATGTGCTTAACCGTTCGGTGTGAGTTCCGAGTTGCCAAGGCTTCAATCAACGTGCCGTCGCCCGCGGCCTATCCGATATCAGACATTAGGTACCCACGGCTCTGGCTACGTACTTTAACTCTTTCACGTTCCGACGCCCACGAGCGTGGCCTGGCTCGCCACGTAGCCGAACTTCATTTCAGACGTGGTCGTGCGCGTTCTCTTTGAGGAAACATCATTTGGGGAAAGGGAGAGGATGTTCAACCCTGTCTAACCGTACGAAACATTATTACGTAATTCTACTCGGAGTATGTTTACTCCGAGTCCGATAATTGGCCTAAATTCGCGCGCTGACGGGACGATGTAACAAGTAGCGAATAGAAATGAAATTTTGAACACGTGAATATGGATGCAACTTTCACATTGCGTGATATTACAGACGGTTGACAATGTGCATTTGTATGCATTTCGTGGTCACTCGATGAATTTTTTTCTAGCGAGAGAGTCGACCAAGGTCTTGGTTAAACGAACAGTTTCCATCTTAATGAAAGTTTAGATCTTTAGTATGATTGAGACGATTTAGCTAGAGGGTCTCTTCAGCTTCAAAATTTGCATATAACGTGTGATTTACGTATCTGTTGATGACAACAGGAATTATAAAATCTTCACAGAGAATTAAAAGAGATTTGAATCATCTTTCTGTAACTAACCGATTGATTAACTTAACGTCAGAATGAAATTTTGTTTCTTTATTAACCGGTAATAAGTGTTTCTACTTCATCAACTCGTTAACTGCTTCATTATTTATTAAAAACCTTTTCAATTCTGAATTTAATAAGAACATCTAAAAATATTAATTTTATAAAGGACTCAATTTACGAGTTTTTCGAACAATCAAATAGCTTGTGGATTTAAAGATACAATGTACGTGTAAGTAGTAAGCCTGCACATGATCTGGAGAAAGTTGAGTTATGCGATGAAGAAGTTGTGTTGTCACAACGCGTCGTACAAGGCTATGTGAGATAGAGATTTATTGTTTTGCATATTTCATTCTAACTGGATATTCTGGATTCAATACAAAAAAAAAAAAAAAAAAAAAA